CCAATGCTTTTCCTGTGTCTATTTAGTTGATCATATGGGTTTTATCCCTTTTGTTATAAATATGATGTAAAAGATTGACTTTTGGAAGGTAAATAGAGCTTGCAGCCCTTAGATACACCCCATTTGGTCCTGGTGTATAAACCTTTTTATTTGTTATTGGATTCAATTTGCTAGTATTGTATTAAGGATTTTACATCAATCTTCATGGGATTTAAATACCTTTTTAAACATAGTATTTAAAACTATATCCCTTTCAGCACTGTTCTAGCTGCATACCCTAAATTGACATTTCATTTTCATTCAGTTAAAATTATTTTCTAATTTCCCCTGTGATTTCCTCAATACATGAGTTAGTTAGAAGTGTGTTAATTTCCATATATTTGGAGATTTCTTTTTGTTGGTGACCTCTAATTTAATCTCTGCATGGTTGCAGAAGATACTTTCTATGATTTAGAATTTTTTGTGGTTGTTGAGACTTGTTTTATGGCACAGCATATGGTCTTTCCTGGAGAATGTTCCATGTGGACTTGAAAAAAGTGTGTTCTGCTGCTGGTGGGTGGTGTTCTACAAATGTCAGGACAAGTTGGCTAGCAGCATTCTTTTTTAAAAAAATTATTTATTTATTTTGAGAGAGAGTGGGGGAGGGGCAGAGAGAGAGAGAGAAAGACAACCCCAAAAAGGCTCTGTGCTATGAGCATGGAGCCCGACATGGAGCTCGATCCCAGGAACTGCAAGATCATGACCTGAGCTGAGGTCAAGAGTCCAAGGCTCAACCGACTGAGCCACCCATGCACCCCCCAGCATTCTTTTATGTGTTTTGTCAAGTTGTTCTATCAGTTGAGAGTGGGATATTGAAATCTCCAAATATTATTGTTGAATTATCTATTTCTCCTTCCAAATCTGTTACTTTTTACTTCATGTATTTTGGGGCTCTTTTGTTAGGCCATATACATTAATAGTTGTTGTATATCCCTGATATATTGGCCCTTTTATCATTTGCAATGTCCTCTACTTCTAGTAATATTTCTTGTCTCAAAGCCCACATTACCCGATATTAATATAGCCATTACAGCTTATTTATGGATACCATTTGCACAGTATATATTTTCCTATAACTTTATATATATTTTTTTCTGAGAGAAGAGAGAGAGCATGTACACACACTCAGGGGAGGGGCCGCAGGATAGGGAGATAAAGGATCTTAGGCAGACTCTGTGCACACCCGACATGGGGCTCAATCCCATGAACCAGATCATGACCTGAGATGAAATCAAGAGTCAGTCGCTTAACTGACTGAGCCACACAGGCGCCCCTGTTGATTTTTTACCTATATTTTTTGAGTATTGGTTTAGTGGTTCCTCTAGAGACTACAATAATATGCATTTCAATTTATCACCATCTTCAGATTAACATTAATTCCAATGAATATAGAAGCTTTGTTTCAATATAGTTCCATTTCCTACTCTCTCCTTTGTGCTATTATCATAATATACATGGCATCTGTAACCCCAACAATACAGTGTTATTGTTACTGCATTATACAATAGCATGCCATTGAAAAAAGAGAAAATATATATTCATTGTGTAGACAAATGTCTCCCCAAGATTCCCATCCTTATTCAATCGAGGTGCTGCCATGAAAGGTCTTTGCAAATGAAATTAAGATTACTTCATAGGGAAATTATCCTAGATTATCCAGATGGGCCCAGTGTGATCACATGAGCCCGGAACAACAGAAGAGGGAGACAAGAGTCCATTAGAGAGAAACGTATGGGAAGAGAGAAACAGAGGAGATGAGGCAGAAGAGACCAGAGAGCTGAAGGATGAGAAGGACCCAAATTGCTACTGCTGGCTTTGAAGAAGGAGGAAAGGGGCCAACAGCCAAGGGATGTGAATGGCTTCTAGAGGCTGAGAACAACTCCTCTGTCAGCAAGGAAATGTGGACTCGGTCTTACAACCACATGGAGCCAAATGTTACAAACAACCTGAATGAGCTTGAAAGTCTATTTATATTGAGCCTCCAGAAAAGAGTACAGTACAGCCAACACCTTGATTTTGACCTTCTAAACCATGGATCAGAGAACCAAGCCACACTATCCCTGAATTTACGAACTACATATAGAAGTGTGTGCTCTTAAGCGGGTATCGTTGTAAGCATGTTTGTAATAATTGTAGTCAGCCATACATTTATATAATCCTTTATATTTAATCACATATTTACCATTTACAGGACTCTTCATTCTGTCCTGTGGATTCAAGTGACCATCTGGTGTCATTTATTTTCATTCTGAAGAGTTTCTTTAAAAACAGTTCCATAGGCAACAAATTGGCTTTTTTTTTTTTAAATCTTTTTATATTGCCACCTTATTTTATGCCTTCATTTCTGAAATCTAAGTTGTTTACAAATCCTCTCAACCAGAAGTCTCTGGAGCTTCCTGAAAGTGCAAGAATCACCCAGGAGGCCACAGCTCCTTCGCTGGTCTTGAGTCAGAGATCCGAAGGGGACTGTTATCCCAGTGGGCTTTACAATTAGACGTAGAAATATCAGGCACTCTGGGTCCCACTGGAGAGTGTGGCAACTTAATCCCGAAACTGTAGGCCCTAAATCGGTGTCACAGCCACAGGATGCCCAGCTCTTCTGAGCTGGCTAGGGGAGCAAAGGGCAGCAGGAATCACCCTCCCTACACTCTTGTGAATCCAATAGTTGGGGAAGGAAGGAAAGATCTGAGCTTGGTGTAGAAGAACCTGCTCCACTGTACCCAGGTGCCCTCCCTGAGCCTCCCCTACTTAGGAACCGTGAGACGTGCACTTGCAGGTCATCCGTGCCATATTCTGCCTGTGCTGCTTGTAACTGCTCTAGCCTGTCCAGGCAGGTCTGCTACATACTGAGAACATCTAGGCTGTTCAGCTTTCTAGGTTTTTTGGGTGTCTGGGTTTTTTGTTTTATTTTTTGGTTTCGGGGTTTTGTTTCGTCTTTTTTTTTTTTTTTTTTTTTTGCCATGAGGAGCGATTTAGGCCTCACTTTCCTTGAGGCCAGCTCTGGGACTTGGACTTGGCTGGCTGCCACTGGCCATCCAAGCTACAGGCTTTGAACTCCCAGGGAACAAGCCAGGAGTGAAAGAAGCTTCTGGGTTAAAGAAGCTCACAAAGCGGAAGGCCAATGAGGGAAAGCTGCTCCTGAGACTCTTACAGAGTATCTGGCCTCACCCCTCTATCCAATCTGCACCAGCTCACCTTCAGCCATTCCCTACAGGAAGGACTGCCAGCTCCCTCTGAGTCCTCTGTAGCCCCCTCAGGACACTCTCAGTTGGCCCCCATCGGTCCTAGTTGCAAAGATCAGGCGAGACCATGCATATAAAAGCACTTGGGAAAACTCCACATTAGGTAACGACCAGTAGTAGTTCAATGATCTCTCTACATCTGGAATTAAATCTCAGAAGTGCATTTAATCTCTCACTCACTGAATGCCCACTCGTATTTCAGTTTATGAATCCAATGACGACCTGATTCCTCTTCTAGGTATCCGGGGTGCCAAGCAGCGGCTCTAATTTCACTTTGTTGTTGATGCCCATAACCTTTCCCACAGTTTTTCCTTCTAAAATGTCTAACGTTAGGGCAGGAGAGCCTGGGTGGCTCAGTCGGTTAAGCATCTGATTCTTGATTTTGGCTCAGGTCAGGTTCGAGATTCTCACTCTCCCCTTGCCCCTCTCCTTTGCTCACTCTCTCTCAAATAAACTTTAAGAAAATTCCTTTGAAAAAATAAAATGTCTAATATTACCAAATAGTCTATCAACCACACCTCTGACAAAGAGCTAGATTTCCCGGTACACCACCTACTACAACATGAAGATCTGTGTTTTAGTGCTGCCTACAGTTTGTGCACATTATATTACTGGTCCATGCCATACTCCCCTTTACTTCCTATTTTTCTTCCCCTCCCTCAATAGATTCTTTCCCATTTCCCTTTCGAAATACTTAAGTTGCCAATCCCCCTTTGTAATTCTATTCCTTCTTATTTTTTCCATTTCTCTTTAGCTCTCATAAAGAATCCTTTATTTCCATAATGATTTAATATGGTTTCTTTCCCAATTCTTAAGAATTATGCACAGCTGAACCCTGCATGACTGAGCCTTAGCTTTTATAACATCAAGTTTTCCTACTTGTCTTTCAGAGTAGCCTCACTGTCTTGTAAATCCTTAACTGTAAAACCGAACAGGCCGTGCAGAGCTACAAGATACGTCAGTGAGGCCACATATGTAAAAACACGTTTTCCATATTAGAAGAGACCGGTATAAAGCTAGTTCTGCTGTTTCTCGGAATCTGTATTTTAAAAATAATTTCACTTTTTCCCATCTTTCAATAAAAGCTCTACATCCTGGTGATATGTCTTCTTCAGTATAGAGAAAGAAAAAAACCCCTAAATCCAGTCTTTGAACTGAAGTGACAGTGTTTAACGCAAGAGCAATCCAATCTACAAAACCTTTCTCAATGTCAGTCAAGAGTTTGGGGCCATATCACCTCCCTGCACCCCTATTTTCTCAGTTTCCTTATCAGCCAAGTTGCTGCTCCCAGTGTATTAACTGTTCAAACCGACTTAATAAAAAAAATATGCCAATTCTCACAAGTCCTTAAATTAGGAAAGAATATGCAAACACTCAATTTTCTTTAAAAAATCACCGAAAAAACTTTGAGAATCAAAATAGTAACATCTTTAACACTGTGTTAGCAGATTTGCAGAGTGAGAGACACTAAGCAGTTCACATGGAGGCAGGTCCATCTCGGCGCCTGACAGATCAACAACTCCCATGCAGGTGGGAGGGTGCCACGGCGCCCACGGATGCACCTGTAGACAGGTGGGCACTTCTCAGCCCCGTTACCATGTTCCAACTTGTACTGAGGAATAGTCCAAAGGTCCTAGTGTCTGTCTAGATAGCAGCAGCCACATCTCATATCAGCATGGCTCCATCCAATATACATACTTTAAATTATGCCACTAGCACTTGGGAAAAAGTCGTTTATTTGCATTGTTTCCATTTCTCTACTGTAGTGTTAGGACTCAACATAAGCATCGCTCTTCTACTTCCTATTTACAGCTCATTCAGAATATTACTACAAATACAATATACAATTTTTAAAAACTTACGGGGAACTGTCATCTTTTTCTTTCCTCTTTACAGGTTTCTCAAAATCATTCAACTTAAATGAAAATTTACAGGGGCATTTTCTGTACACATCCGAAAGGGCAGAGGTTACACTGATAAAGCCAAAAGAATTTTGCACGGATACAATAAAATACAGAAAACAGAGACTATAGAAGATGTTATTTGGGGTACAAATATAAACAATACAGTACCATTTGAGTAATTTAGCAACATAACACTCATACTTTATAGAAATAAAACTGCAAACCTGGAGAATGCTCTGACAAATATTAAACATTATATATACAATGAGGTAAATGTACCTTGGTCTCTTGAGAGGTAATTTAAGGTTAAAGCAATTGACATTTTGAAGCATCTCCTTGACATATAAAGAAATATCAAACACCCCATTCCATTGGCACAATGTGAAAAAGGGATATCAAAACACGGTTCATGAAATTCAATTCACAAATCTTGTTAAAAAATAAAAACAAATTCACTTAAGTTTTTTTAAGCTGTAAGAAACAGGTTGAGTATTATTAACCACATTCTTAGAAGTTTACAATTACAAGTAAGATTGCATAATGGTGTTGAAAAGCTCGAACGCACGCACGGAGAGTCCTCAGAATGACTCAGAATCCCCGCACTGCCGGGGGGCGCTGGTGGCTATTCCAGCGTTCTTTATCACACTCAAGAAGCTACCGATTACATGTCCAGATCTCAAAAACCTCTGACTTGGCATTTCCCGCCAAGCTGTAACAGAACCACTGTTTGGAACCTCCACCACTGCCACAGTCAAGAAACACAAAGAAACAGTTGACTTACAATCACTCTTTAGTGCAAGGATAAAACTAAACTCTTGATATGACAGGTCTAGTGGGATACTGATTTTGTTCTGCATTTTATTTAACCCTCCACCGTCTTGTTTTACCAAACAGTCTAAATGGGCCAGTTCTCAGACGCAGGGGGAGGGAAGCAGAAGGGAGCTCCCGCATGAGCTCTCTGTAAGGAGAACTGAAATTGGAGATCTTGACGGCCATGGCTCTGTGCACGGACTCAAGGCACTTCTTGAGCATTACCCCCAAGGCAGAGGCACAGGCTCACTTCCTCAGACCTGGTGCTGTCCTACAGCAGGTAGGAAGGGCCGCTGCTTTTGGCACATCTCCTATTGCCACGCGGCCACCTTACGGCCTTCCCACTCCCCGGCCGTGACTGAAGTCCCAAACGGGGCCATCACCCACCCAATCTCCTCGCTTGGGAGAGCCCTCCGGGCAACACCCGTGACTCAAAGAAATGGAAGCATGTTCTACATTTCTGTCATCCGTTTAGATACCAAAAGCAGCTATTTGGTCAGAAGGCTGCTGTGGGGTGATGAGCAGGGCAGGGAGGCAACAAGGCAACGGTCTCCACTCAGGGACCAGCAGGAAGGCAGACTGAGAAAAGAAAGCTGAAGTTACGAAGGAAGGAACTGGGGACACCTGTGCCCCACTGGGTCGTACCCCCTCATCCCCAGTCCTCCGGGGATACTGACAAAATGAATGTGGACAGGTAACTGGCCTGAAGGTACATTTTAAGCCAAGTTTAATCTTGGAAGGTGAGCATCTGAAGATAGGCAGTATAAACAAAGGATTGTGTTTCTAAATGACAAAATTAATACGCTAGTCAAACCTCTCTGCAGTTATGGTCATAGCAATCAGGATCTAATTCATCTTTTAGGTGACTTCCATTTCCAGTATTAGCCAATTGGGGTTTATCAAACTCATTAGCCAAAAAAGGAATTTGCTGCAGTAATAAACCCAATTTAGAATCTCCAACTTTAAAAAAACATTCCCTGACTCACCAAAAGTACATTATATCCACTTAGGCAAGAACAGTACAACTGCAACTCAATCTTTGATTTAATAAAGAATATCTTCAGTAAAAGTTGATTACCTTATAGGAAAGTGAGAAATTATGTATCACAAGTTTCAAATCAGACAAGAAATTTTGGTATGTTCTTAAAATTATATAAAAATAGTTTTAGCATTGGTCCCCTGGATTTCATAAAGCAGATCTGGTAGGCTTAGAAATGGCAAAAAAAAAAAAAGGTACTTAATCACAGAGCTAGAGATTATTAAACAGGAAATCTAACAAAATTATAAAAACAAACCCCTCAAACTAATTCATTTGCTTTGACAAAAATCATGGTAACTACAGAAAAAACTCAAGTTTGGAGTCAAAATATTAACCTCTAAGCACATTTTCCCCATGATGTTTTTAAACACATGAAATTGACACTAAATTCCTATGCATATGTCATTCATTCTAAAATTACTTTGGCTTTAAGACCAAATAGTCTTTCAAATTTATTCTATGTGTAAGAGATAAGACATTATCAGAATGCAGCCCAGTCAGCGTAAATGGCCATGATTTCTTACTGACCGAAATACTGTAAAGGTTATTCTGACCCTTTTATCTGGAAATTGATAGCACTATAAAGTCAATGTCTTGCCTTACCGCTATGATAGTTTTTTCTCTCCCATCAGAGTAAGATCACAGTGATAAAGAGAACTCTGAAAATTATAAAAGCCCGAAAGGACTTTTAGCACTGGAAGTAAAAACCAGTTATTATAAGTTAGTTTCAAGTTAATGAAAAGACCATGACGAGTTTGCTTGAGACATTTAATCTGACTGAAAACGTCTGTAAATGGAGACCCTGCACTCAAGAATGTTTCTTAGCTACCACTCCCAAATACCAAGGGTGTACTGAACTCATAATGTAGCCATGTAGATTAAACACTTGCAGGATGTGCACACGGAAAGACTGAATAGAAGCTGCCTTCTTCAACGTGAGACCCCAAAACCACACCAACTCTGACCTTAGTTACAAAGACAGAAAGTCCACCGAACACTGACTCCTACATAACAAATGTGACTCTCCTGCACACCTGTTAGCTATTCAAATTATTAACTACTTTTACCTTCCTAGAAAAAGGCCTATTATTTAACATCAACCATATCCTAATTTTAAATGTAGTTCATTTCTTAAAAAAATAACACTGTCTTTGATCAGATAAAGAAAAAAAATGGCTTACAGAATGCCACACAACTTTTCACAAGCAGCTAGACAAATTTTCCCTTTTAGAAAAATTAGTCTGTAGGCTACAAGTTTTAAATTATTAAAGTACTATAAGCATCTAGAGTGCCACTTGACTGAAGGTATACTTAGACGACACAATTTAAATGCAAAAGTTTGAAGTGAGAATATTCAAATATGACCATGATAACATTTACCAATTAATGCCACTTCATTCCTTTAGTGGTTTAAGCACATTTTGGTAGGAGAAAGGCATTTTCAAAATGGAATACCAAACGACATACTACAAAAATTCCTCCAGAAAAACAAAACAGAAAAAGTCTGGGTTACCCAGATAAATAAACTTCTCGAATTAAAATACTACAGGTTTTAAGACACACAGACTTTAAACAATTCTAGTCATTCCATTAGAAAGACACAGAAGCGGCACTTACTGGTATAGGACAATCCCATTTTGAAGGCATGTAATGTTCTGAATATGTGAAAGAACAGTAATAGTATACAAAATACAATTGCATAAATTATGTTCCTCACTACTATATGAGGTCATTTTTAGACTCAAGATAAGAGTTTTATAAGTGTTAGCTTTAAGATCCTGAAAGTTATAGAACAGTACATTCAAAGTCTGAATCAAGAAAACTCTTTAGTGGTTCAGAATCCTCTGAGAATGTACTAACCAGGAATAAAATCACTTTCTTGAAAAATAAGAAATGTTTCGTATAACTCAACGATCCAGCTCCTTTACCCTTAAAGATGATCTTCAGCACAGCAGAGTTAACCTAAAGTTAAGATCAGCAATCACCTTTAAAAAAAAAAACAACAAAACAACAACCAAGTTTTGTGTTAATTAAAAATAAAGGTAGACTACATAACACTTTGTAACTGTCCTGGGAAAGAAGTGTTCATAGTGCAGAGAAAAGACCCACGTGGCTGTTTCCTGGATCCAAAGAAATCCTGGGGAGTTTCTCATTGACCTTATCACACTGTTGCAAAAGGAAGCAATATCCTTCTAGCCCCTCTCAGTGAGGTAGAACAGCTGACCTCCCAAATGAAAACCCAGGAGCAGATCTGAAGAAAAAGCAGAGTTCAGGCAAAGCCACAGAACTACATTTTGATGCCTTCCTGTTGACTGAGTTGTGACAATGTTTTCTTAATCCTCAAAGCTGTAAGTCTAGCGGCTCCATTGGCGTACCAACATTCTCTCATAATTTTTGCCATTACTCTCAAGGCCTGCAAGAAAAGAGAAGAAAAATAACAATTAATGCATGCACCACTTTCCATTCATCTGGGTAAGATCTTTACTATGTACATTCTCTTTCCAAGTGACATGCATTCAATGTTTTGCTTGTTTCAGCATTATCTGTAATAACAAATGAATAGAAACGACCACAATTCCCATCAGTGGGGTCCTGCTGTCAGCAGCTGGAAAGCAGACGGACAAGGGGTGACTGACTTATTAGAAGACCTGAAAAATCTGAATCCTAAACCAGAGTTGTAAATGGTAAAAAAGGAACCTGACTCACACTGGAACTTCCCCCTAAAACCAAGGAATTAACTACATTGAGTTCCTCTGAGGCGAAGTACAAGGTAAAAATACGAGGATCAGCCAAAAGAGCTGGAACCCCAGATCCTTACCCCTCCCTGAGCATCACATAGTTGGGTGGCTGCAGCACCTCCATCAGCAAAAGACTAGAGGTTTGTATCTGAGAGGGTAAAGCGGAGGCTTCTGACTTGGGGAACATGGGGGCAAAGTTGCATACTGACAACTCACTAAATGAGAAGACCATAAATAAGCTTTCTCCCCAAAACATAGGCAGCAACCTATAGCCACTCCTCCAGGCAAGAGACTGTAAGAGTCCTCTCTGGGGAATGCGAGCCCACGTGGAAAGACCTGAAGACACTACTCTCAGGTTCCCCAAGCGAGCAGCCCAGTTAGAGCCTCCTAAAGACCACAGGTGATAAGCTCCCTTCACGGGCACAGAGCTTCCAGTGTCCTGCTTTTAAACATGAAGAGAGCAGGAGTTTGCTCAGACACCAGAGAAAGCAATATGAATGCAGAAGCTGATACAGAACAAGGGAACTTGGAAAAACAGCTGTACAGAGAAAATATCAACAATTTATCATTAATATTCTCAAGGAGATAAAAGAAAATGTTCATATTAGATTTACCATTGATCGTTTTTTTACTTCTTATTTGACTTTGGAAAAACTTGACAGAAGAATTGGAGAATAAACTCGATAAAAAAAAAAAAGATAAAAGTTGATAAACCTCCCAGAAAGTATAGGAAAAAAAACAGAGATGGAGGAAAAGACAAAATTAGAAGGCCTCTTCAAGAGGTCTACCACTCATAACTAGAGTGGAAGAAAGAGAACAGAGGAGGGGGCGCCTGGATGGTGTGTCAGTTAAGTGTCTGGCTTCGGCTCAGGTCATGATCTTATGGTTCATGAATTCAAGCCTCACATCAGGCTCTGCGCTGGATTTCTCCCCCCCCCCCCCCCCCACCGCCTCTCCCCTACTTGTGCTTTTTTGCAGTCAAAATAAACTTAAAGAAAAAAAAAGAACAGAGGAAAACTGAAGGGAACAAATCAAAGAAATACTTCAGGGACATTTTCTAGAAATGAACGTTTGCTTCCAGATAAAAAGGACTAAGTTCCTATCACATACATATACTCATTCAACAAAATAATAAATTTACTGAGAGCCTACCATCTCCCAGATACCATCCAAGGGACTGAGGATATAACAGCAAGCAAACAGACAAAATCCCTATCCTCATAAAGTTCACATTCTAGAGAGCCAAAACATGTAATTAATAAGTAAGTACAATACATGGAGAAGTAGCAGTAAGTGCTAAGGAGAAACAATCAGAAACATCATTTAGGGACAGCAGATAATATATGTCAGGGAAAGAAGGTGATATTTGAAATGGGTATAACAAGGTAACATCTAAGCGGAGACTTAAAAGAGGGGGCAAAATGAATAAACCAAGAAACAGGGAGTCATGGGGCCAGGAAAGAACATTCACCGTTAACAGAGGCAAAGGGAATCCCAGGACAAAAGGTGAGGGATATCCCAAGATGAAAGCTGCACAGTGGGCCTAGAGAACTACGAGTAAAAACTGGAAAATAACAGAAGATTCGGGAAGACATCTCTTCAGTTATTCTATCAGGTTCATATTCTTAAGGTGTTTCAACTACTGAGAGGAGATTTATAAAACCCTGGAAAAGTGAGACTGAATTAGTAAAAAGTACATATAAAACTAATCAAATGGAGAAAAAACAAATATGACAGCGATGGTATTAATGCAGCAAATTGCACATGTGCTCTTAATCTTGACTAATAACTTTTCCTCGTGTTTAAAAGGTCATCTGTTTAGAGGTGCCTGTCTAGAGTTACTTAACAGTAACTGTTAAGTCAGTTACTTAAGCGTCTGACTCTTGATTTCAGCTCAGTTCGTGATCCCAGGGTAGTGGGATCGAGCCCCGCGTGAGGTTCCACACTGAGCATAGAGCCTGCTTGAGATTCTCTGCCCCTCTCCCCAGCTCACATTCATGCTCTTGCTCTCACTCTCTCCTCTCTCTCTTTAAAAAAAAAAAAAAAAAAAAGGAATANTTTGTACTTCACAATATCAAGATCAAATTTGTAAAAGACAAAAAAAAAAAAATTTAGTCCAGTTTCATGTGTTAAACATGCAAATTTTTTTCTTTTTTTTTTTTTAATTTTTTTAATGTTTTTATTTATTTCTAGGAGAGATAGAGAGGCAGCGCGAGCAGGGGAGGGTCAGAGAGAGAGGGAGTCACAGACTGAAACAGGCTCCAGGCTCTGAGCTGGCAGTCAGCACAGAGCCCGACGTGGGGCCCGAACCCACGAACCGTGAAATCATGACCTAAGCGAAAGTCGGACGCTTAACCGACTAAGCCACCCAGGCGCCCCGTAAACATGCAAATTTTTAAGGCATGCTTAGATGTATTTTATCTGGGCCTGGATACTTGATTTTGTTGGAGGTAGCTAAGGAGCTCTCTTAATGTCTCAACTATTGAGTCCTACATTATTTTAAGATGCAAAATCGACCACTTAAGTGACCAGCTTCTTATTCCTCTTCACATCTGGTGGAAAATGCTCTGCTTTGCCAATATTATAATAGTGACAGGCAGCAATTAAATACAGATTAAATAAAATTTGTCTTATGAATTCTTTAAATTTACAAGTACAAAAACATTTCTAAAATGTTTGTAAGAGCCGGGGTTGAGAAGTTCAGACACCTGCTGGACAGTGCCCTCCCTTTATTCCCAGTGAGTGGTCATGCAGGCAATGACATGAGTAAGATGTAACATCATCAGAACCATCTTTCCAATCACCTTATCCACTTTTCTCATTTTAAAAGGTTAGGGTCTAGAGAAGTAAAATTATTTGTCTAAAGTCAGACTCTGAAATGGCAGCCAGGCTGGTCTACAAGACAGGATTCCTAGTTTCCATCCAGCATTCATCTTACCGTTTTGGGCAGCCTTGATCAAAAGGACTCATTTGAATAAAATGCAGTTGCCTTTTATCTGCAGATGACATGATACTATATATATTGAAAGCCCTAAAGACTCCACCAAAAAACCCACTAAAACTGATGAACGAATTCAGTAAAGTTGCAGGATATAAAATCAATGTACAGAAACCTATTGCATTTCTGGGGCGCCTGGGTGGTTCAGTTAGTTAAGCATCTGACTCTTGATTTCAGCTCAGGTTATGATCTCACAGTTTGTGGGATCAGGCCCTTTGCAGATCACTGTCAGTGCAGAGCGTGCTTGGGATTCTCTCTCTCTAGACCTCCCCCACTCACACACTCTCTCTCAAAATAAAAAAACTTAAAAAAATTTTTTTAAAAATCTGTTGCAGTTCTATACACTAATAATGAAGCAGCAGAAAGTGAAATTAAAAATAAAAATCCCATTTACAATTGTACCAAAAACAATAAAATATTTAGGAATAAATTCAACCATAAAGGTAAAAGACCCTTACTCTGAAAACTATAAAACACTGATGAAGTAAATTCAAAATGATACAAAGAAATGGAAAGACATTCCATGCTCGTGGATTGGATGAACAAATATTGTGGGGTTTTTTTTTAATTTTTTTTTATGTTTCTATTTATTTTTGAGAGAGAGACAGAGCATGAGTGGAGGAGGGACAGAGAGAGAGGGAGACACAGAATCCAAAGCAGGCTCAGGCTCTGAGCTCCCAACGCAGAGCCCAACATGGGGGTCGAACTCATGAACTGTGAGATGACAACCTGAACTGAAGTCAGACACGTAACCGACTGAGCCCCAAGAAGAACAAATATCATTAAAATGTCTATATTACCCAAAGCAATCTACACATTTAATGTAATACCTATCAAAATACCAACAGTATTTTCACAGAACTAGAACAAACAATCCTAAAATTTGTATGGAACCACAAAAGACTCCAAATAGCCAAAGCATCTGGGGAGGGTGGAGGGGGACTGATATATCACAATTCCAGATTTTAAGGTATATTATAAAGTAGTGGTAATTAAAATATTATGGTACTGGCATAAAAATAGATACATAGATCATGGAATAGGGCAGAAAACCCAGAAATAAACCTATAATTATTTGGCCAGTTAATATTCAACAAAGGAGGAATGAATACACAATCAGAAAAAGATAGTCCCTTCAACAAATGATGTTTTGTTGTGAACACTGGACAGCCACATGCAGAAGAATGAACCTGGACCACTTTCCTTCACCAGGCACAAAAATAAACTCAAAATAGATTAAAGACCTAAATATAAGACTTGAAACCATAAAAATCCTTGAAGAGAGCATGGGCGGTAATTATCTCTGATATCGGCTGTAGCAACATTTTTCTAGATACGTCTCCTGAAATAAGGGAACTATATCAAAATAAAAGCCTGCACAGCAAACGAAATAATCAAAGAAACTAATGGGAGAGGATATTTTTAAATGGCATGTCTGATAAAGGGTTAGTATCTAAAATATAAAGAGAACTGATACAACTAAATACCCCCCAAAATCATCCAAATAAAAAATGGACAGAGGAAGTTAACAGACATTTCTCAAAGAAGATATACAGATGACCACAGACACAAGATGCTCAACATCACTCATCATCAGGGAAATGTAAATCCACACTTCAATGAGCTATCACCTCACCCCTGTCAGAATGGCTAAAATCAAAAGCCAGAAACAAGCGTTGGTGAGGATGTGGAGAAAAATGAACCCTCTTGCACTATGGTGAGAATGCACATAGGTGCAGACATTTAGGAAAACAGTATGGAGGTTCCTCAAAAAATTAAAAAGTAAACTACCCTATGATCCAGGAATTGCACTACTGGGTATTTACCTCAAAACTACAAAAACATTAATTGAAAGGGATACATGAACCCCTATGTTTATTGCACTATTATTTACAATAGCCAAACTATGGAAGCAACCAATAGATGAATGGATAAATATTATTCAGTCATAAAAAAAGAATGAAATCTTGTCATTTATAACAACATGGATAGATCCAGAGGATATAATGCTAAGTGAAATAAGTCAATCAGAGAAAGACAAATACCATACATTCTCACTTGTAAATGGAATTTAAGAAACAAAACAAACAAGCAAATAAAAGAAAAATGAGAGAGAGAGAGACAAACCAAGAAATAGACTCTTAACTACAGAGAACAAACTGATGGTTACCAGAAGGCTAGTGGATGGGGGTCTGGGTTAAATAGGTGATAGAGATTAAGGAATGTGCTTATCAAAAAAAAAAAAAAAAAAAAAAGAGAGAGAGAGAGAGAGAGATGGTGAACTTAAGCTTAACCATATTGGTAAGTGCATTAAATGTAAATGGATTAAACATTCCATGTAAAAGATAGATAGAAAAATAGATAAAATAAAAACGCAGATGCCTTGGTTCATTGGTAGATTTAAACACTATTCTGATACTTTGACAGATGTACTTCAGATTGAACATGAAAACCAAATTATTCTGTTTTTCACTCACTGGTTTAATTGCCATAAAAAAAAAAAACAACAAAATTCTTGTGTCTATTTTCCTTAAAGAAAAGAGGCAAATTTCCATTTAACAAGCAGAAACAGTTTAGAAAATTGTATAGTATCCAAGAGAAACACTCACTTCACAACTCTGCCATCTGTTTGGAATATTTGGCCTTAACTTCTGTTCACAAACAACTTTTCTCATTTCTTCAACTGACGGATCAGAAGGTACAAGATCATAATAAGGCAGCTGGTAATCTTCATGAATTCCTATATTGGTTAAAAAAAAAAAAAACAATTTTGAAGAATTTATTCAGATAATGCCAGACCATTCTTTGTCCAGACAGAAAAGGAACACCTGAGACTCCTACTTCAGGGTTCCATCCATAAATTAACTAAGTGGAACAGCGCTTGAGCTTGCTCTATCTCAGCCACATCTGCACCAACAACCCATGGTTCTGAGTTGGTACTGGGCCCACAGCTTGAAACTAAGTATCACCATGGGATCAGCAAAGGCTATTTAAATGATGGGTAACCAGGAGTGACAGTTTCCTATAGAAGCCTATGGTACCAAAAAATGAGAGTTTTAATTTTGTGAGTGCTCAATCCCTCCCTTGGCATAGGGATCTACACTCTACCATGGAGCCGTAAATCCTACAAGCAAATCGGAGGTGCAAGTCCTTTACCTCTACTTGGATCTGTCCTCTTTACTAAAACACAGAGACATGCTCCCCCTCTTACTGTCACATAAACTCAAGACCTTAGTCTCAACCAAGCCTGGGCCCCCAAGCATAAGAAACTATTCCTCAAGTAAACACTGGAAGTTCTCAATCTAAAACTTAACATAAGTTAAAACTTAGCTTAAACGTAGCGTAAGGGTGATGTAACCGTATTCTGTATTTATAACTTCCAGGTATGGAGTTGGACAAACTACCCACAATCTCAGGGGGAAAATAAGTTTGACTCAGGTACATGCTAGAAACAGCTTCCTCAGTGGCCTCTTAAGTAGTCATCCACTCTAAATAACTATATGGTGAGATAACAAGGGCTTGGTTTCTGATGCTTCCCAATATTTAAATGAAAAATAGAAAAAGAACACACTAGAATAAGCATGCCGTGTCATTTCCTCTCACTACAGGTTTTATCTCCTTTATTTTCTATGGTACTCTCAGTGATCACTGCTGATTATGTATAATTACACTCAATTAAAAAAGGCTAGGGACATGAGAGTGGCTCAGTTGGTTAAACTCCTGACTTTGGCTCAGGTCATGATCTCATGGTCAGTGACTTTAAGCCCCGTGCTGGGCTCTGTGCTGACATCTCAGAGCCTGGAGCCTGCTTCCGATTCTGTGTCTCCTTCGCTCTCTGCCCCTCCCCTGCTCACACTCTGTCTCTCAAAAATAAATACTAAAAATTGTTTTTAATTAAAAAAAAAAAGGCTATCCTTTAACAGCTTCTGTTCATGACAAACTATTGGGGCAAGGGGAGAAATTTACCACCAATGGAACATCGTCGAGCTATTTCCCAGAATACTAAGCCCATTGCATAGATGTCGGCACGTTTGAAGGATTCAAAGTGTTTCATGTTTATGGAATCATCTAGAACTTCAGGGGCCATGTACCTAAAAAAGAAGTCGGCATTTTACTTTATGTATTGGTGGCCACAATACATTTGAACTCTTTCATAGATTTTTTTTTCTTCCCTTTTAGCATGGTTCTGCTACTTTTTATAATGATTCACACTTCCTATAGAAATTTTCCCAAAGTTCATAAAGTACAAAGGAAAAAATCATTCCATTACTACCACCCAGTGTTCATACTTTGATCAGCATCCTTGCAGGTATCTCTCTATATACACACATATACAGACAATATTGCAAAACTAAGATCACACTACACTCAAACAGATTAAATATCCACCTGATTTGGAAATTAATGATGTCAACTAAATCCCATGAGAAGCTGAAACAGCAATTTCATGCTATCATGCTAAACTTAATGATCTTAGTTTCCAATGAAAGACACACATATAATAATCATGACTATTATAAATGTCCTAACATACACCACCTACTTTGTCAAGTACTATGCAAGGACCATCTAGACACCTTCTCACTAGAAGAGGATGGAAGGAAGTAAAAGACATAATCCAGGGAACAAAATAATAGGAAAAAATGAATGTCAGTCCTCCTATTTTTTAGAGGGCAAGCGAGGAAGGGGCAGAGAGAAAGGGAGACAGAACCCCAGACAGGCTCCACACTGTCAGTGCAGAGCCTGATGTGGGGCACGAACTCATGAACTGAGCTGAAATGAAGAGTCAGACACTTAACCGACTGAGCCAGTCAGGTGCACGCACTGTAGGGTTCTTAAGTTTTAAAAAGCCTACTAAAGTTAGGGATCAGGATCCACAAAGACCTGACCTGTAGCAAGCACTGTCTTGGACCCTTAAGTCAAGAGTTCTGAGAGTCCCTGTTGAATCCAGAAATCACAAATCACAAAGACAACTGAGATAGAAAAAAGCTTGGCCCTATCTATCCAAGGCCGAGGCAGGAGTGTGAAGATACTGTCATGGCAACATGCTGTGATAGAGTAAGGCCTTTTGGGCCAGAAAGGCCAAGGTTCCAATCTCACCTCTTCCGTTACCATCCATATGAGGCTGACCCCATTACTTAACTTCCATGGGGCTGTTTCCTCATCTATGCAATGAAAGCAAGGACATCTATCTAGTCATGTTCTTTTGAAAACTCATCTATTCAACCAATGTTTACTGAACACCTGCTCTGTATTAAGCACCGTAATGGATGCTGGGGATCCAAGGCTGCTCTCAAGCAGTCTGCCATCCACTGGAATATACAGATAGATAAACGGAGAGTTATAATGTGCTAAGTGCCTTCACAGTCCAGGTTCAGCCTGCTATGGCAGTGCTTGGTAAGAGCATTTCACTGTCGAGAAAGGGCTTCCTATGAGAAAGGAAGGGTGAGGACAAATCAGGGAAACAGCACATGCAAAAATTATGAGGAAGAAAGAAAGGTGTATTTTCAGGAACTAAAAATAAGAAAATGGGGGTCCCTGGGTGGCTCACTAGTTAAGTCTCTGACTCCTGATTTTGGCTCAGGTCAAATCTTGCAGTCTGTGGGACTGGACCGCATGTCGGGCTCTGCACTAACAGCACAGAGCCTGCTTAGGATTCTGATTCTCTCTCTCCTTCTCTCTCTGTCCCTCCCCTGCTCGCTCGCTCTCTCCCTCAAAATAAATAAACATTTTTTAAAAATAATAAAATAAGAAAATGGTTGGGCTAGCTACAGTACAGCACATGAGGAGAGCATTAACTGAGATAATACATACACAAGACCCACTAAAATGATTGGCACAGGGGCACCTGGGTGGCTCAGTCGGTTAAGCATCAGATTTCGGCTCGGGTCACGATCTCACAGTAGGTGAGTTCGAGCCCAGCGTCAGGCTCTGTGCTGACAGCTCAGAGACTGGAGCCTGCTTTGCAGTCTTCGTCTCCCTCTCCCTGTCCCTCTCCTGCTCATACTCTGTCTCTCTCTCTCAAAAATAAATAAACATTAAAATAAAAATGATTGCCACATACTGGGCAGCCTATTAATGTCAGCTACTATTGTTATTATAGTTAATATAACTAATGATAATATTTCTGGAAAGGCCACCTTTCATCAGCAGGCATCTTTTAAAGTCAGGTAACCTTGGCTTCAGAGCAGGCAAAACCATGAGATCTTCTACCTGTGGGCAATCTAATAAAGTACAGGTTTGAGTTTCAGAAGATATGTATATACAAATGAGAAGGAAATGAAAAAGAAGTTGATTTCAGAAGATATCAAACACTGTTCACAAATATACCTTTTTGTTCCCACTCTGTGGTTCGGAGCAATATCAATCGTATCTGTGGCTGAATCGTGTCTCACTGCCAGTCCTAAGTCTGCAATGCAGCAAGTGCCATTCTTCTTTACTAAAATATTCTTGGACTTAAAATCTCTGTGAGCAATGGCTGGTTTCCCTAAGGAAACAAATTAAACATGACTGTTTAAAAGGGGTTACCAGTCTCAACTCTCACTTTTAGGTTCAAAGTCTCAACTCCTGTCCCAGTGCAGTGTCACAGCATCTCAGCCCACATCATCCACGATACCTGAACAATTACTGAACAACCCCACGCAAGTCATCATACCAAATGTTGCCGAAATTACATTTCTTCAAAGAAAACAGAAAAAAGAAGATTCTCTAAAAGACGGTGCTCAAAAACTGTAAGTCTAGCAACTCAAAGCCTAGGGTTTAAGGATGTTAGTTCGCTGACATCTCATGAATTATTTATAGAACTCTAGTCAGAGACTGAGATTTCAGTCCAAGAACCAAACATCTACATGACTTCATCTACCTCCCAACTGTAATGTACTCATTATTAAGTTCACAAACTTTAATACTAACCACTGGAAGACATGCTACTAAAAATCATAATTACAGTGTGGAAACCCTAGAACCCTCCTCCATTGCTGGCAGGAATGAAAAACAGTACAGCCACTTTGGAAAAAACAGTCACAGTCCAGAAGTGCCTCAAAACCATCAGTTACTGTATAATCTAATAATTACACTGCATAAGAGAACTGAAAACATATGTCCCCCAACCCCCAAAAAACATGTACACCAATGTGAGTGGTGCCGCAATGAGTAGAGAATCTCTAAACAGATTCCCACGTTCCTAACTCCACCTGAGATTTTCAACAGAAAGATACAATAATTTCATTTAAAACCTCATTTTAAACATCTCCATTTAGGCTGACTTCTTGCAAAAATTTTCTAACAGACATTAGATTCAGGGGAATTTAAAGCTTAAATACCAGAATTACTTTGAGTTACCTTGGGTACCAACAATCTCCATATGAAGATGGGCAAGTCCACTTGCTGTGGACAAAGCGAGTTTTATCATTCCTTCCACGGTAACTGTGTATCTGTTCAAATAATCAAAAAGGGATCCGTGCTCATGATAATCTGACACCAACCAGAGCTGAGTCCAGGTACCGTTGTCTACAAAGTAGAATAACAACATTTCAGATGGGCTGCAGAACATTTAAGATTTATCAACTCAAGAGTTACCACTTTTTACTCTCAATCTTGAAATCCACACCTGTAACATACGATGATGGTACCTTAAGTGTGCATATCATTCCCTTCATAGTTATACTTTTACATACATATCTTTTTGATCCTCTGAGTAAGCCCCCTAGTCTTGAGATAGGCAAGGATAACTAATCCCATTTAAGAGACAAAGAATCATAGTTGCAAAATGGTGACCTTGAATCTACACAGACAGTAACAGAGCGGGGACTCCTTAGTGGCTAGAAAAATGTCTGGTTCAGGTTAGGTGCTCGATGGTTGTTTCTAGAAGGAGGAGGGAAATGAGAGGGAGGAAGATGAGAAGTATCTGGAGCCTAGTGTGGCCACAGTAGGAACGGAACAGTACAGGACAAAACTGTGAGCTTAAATGAAGAAATGCAAGCTTTAATCACAGACTGTACCTTCAGTTCACAAAGAAACCAGATAAGAGGATTATGAATCCAAGGTTTCCAGCTTAGGAAAAAATATAAAAACTGTGGTATCACTGGCACATGGGAAAGCTGAGACAGGAACTAAAATGTCTGGAGGGAAAAAGCTAGGGCTGAACCCAGTTTTACATAAGGTGATTCTGAACCTCGACAACTAGCAATATGTATTCCAAAAGGTTGCATGTAAGCTGATACATGGATTTGAAATGTGTTTCCCCAATGGAATCATGGTGAGGATTCTGGCTAGGCTTCTAGGCTAGACCGGTCCAGAAAAGCCTATCTAACCTAGAAATAGCAAGAAAATCACGTATTTCATGAAATCGCGCAATACGACAATACTAGGAGGCAGCACAATTCAGTAAAAGCAGCAGGCTTGGAGTCATTCTGACCTGGAGTGAAAACCAGGGTTTAATGGACTGGCTGTAATGGACTATGGGACCTCAGATAAGTTTCTTAACCAACATGAGCCTCTGTTTCTTCTCTTATAAAACAAGAATGCCTTACTTTTACAAAAGTGTTAAGATTTAAAAACTAAGATAATTGATTTAAGCATTTAGTGCCACTAAGAACTTAAAATGTGCTATTTCCTGTTTCCTGAGGCACCTGGGTGGCTCAGGCAGTGGAGTGTCCAACTCTTGATTTTGGCTTAGGTCATGATACTAGGGTCGTGGGATCGTACCCAGCGTCAGGCTCCGTGTTGAGCATGGAGACTGCTTAAGATTCTCTGTCTCCCTCTGCCCCCCTCAACCCACTTGTGCTTGCTCTAAAAAAATAAAAAATTAAAAGAATTTTTTTAAATGTGCTGTTTCTTTCCCTACTGGTTGTAAAGCACACACAGATACATACATACACACACACACACACACACACACACACACACACACACACCAAAAACCCCATCCAACTGACATGAAACAGCATCTATATTAAAGGTTGTTACTTGAAGAAAAGCAACTCTGATTAGAAGAGAATAAGAAAGGTATTTTCAGAAAATTATACAGGGGATTTCTGGGTACTTTCAAAAGAATTTAGATATTCATGACACTAGTTCTTTATAAACTTGTTCATCATAAACTAATTCTATTCAAACTTACATGTTTTCTTTCCCTTGATACAGATGCATCACTACCTTTATCTGCATGCTTAGTAATCAAGACTGAATTCCGAAAGGCTGACATATAAACAGGAACACAGGCAGATGGAAGAAAGGGATATTTTCTGAGGTAATTAGCAGGAGAGGCAGAAGGAGGAGAAGACGCTGTGCAATATGAAGGGTTGTCTGAGGTGGAATTAACTAACTCAGGAGGATAAAGATAAAGGAGAAGGGAATTGGGGTGGATGGACTAGTTTCTGGGCCAAGTCCATTAGCCCCTGACAAAGAAGAGAGGGAGGGTAGGGAAGATGCGGCAGGGGCAGCCAGTTCCCATGGTGACCACCAGAGGACAGCACCAGCTTGGCTGCAGCCTGAGCAAACGGGGGAAAAAGAGTCCAGGGCAAGGAGCACAGGGATTTTGCACCTGTGTTTGCAACTTGAAATATGCCCCAAACAGGTCAGGCCTGGGAGACGGCTGGAGACCCAAAATACAGATTGGAAAGCAACTGCCACGGCCGAGTTTGATACTACGCACGTGGATAAGTTCTTCAAAGAAGCAATTACTATTTGTAGACATAGAGCTTTCGTATCATCAGTAAGCAGAGTCTTGGAAAACAAAGACAACTACTAAGAAATAATAAATGAAGACTGAAAATCTAGAGTCATGGAACATTGTTTTTAAGGTTGTTTTAAGGGTGGGAGAGGAAGCTAAATGATGGGAAAGGCAGGAGAAAATTAAAACGAAGGACTTGGTCAAAATATGATCACTGCTTTTGCTTATTTGTTTTGTTTGTAAATTAAGTAATATGGAATTGGTAGTAACCAATGATAAATCACTGCCTATATCCATCACACCCATCACTATCCCCAGGTCACAAGAAGGGGATAATCAAACATTATATGCCTCCTGAGAGGGTACATAGGAAGTATACGCTATATAGGAAGGTATATAACATTACCAGGAAACCAGTGAAATGTAATCAGATTCAGTCTCTAATTCTAACTACCAGTTTTTAAATACAAGGAGCAAGTACTGAGATACTATGGAAACTCAATCAACAAGAGTCCAGAATGTGATGAGCCTGACAGGACAAACAGTCCGGTTTCTTCAACAAACAAACTGAAAGAAAAAAAAAAAAAAAAGATGAAAAGGGAACATAGCAATTTTAAGGGATCTAAGATAATTATCAACCAAACACAATGTGTGGATTAAAGTGACACAAAGTGACAAATGCAGTATGTGAACTAAAGCTATTCCTAAAGTGAATGACTAATTATTAAAAAAAAAAAAAAAAAAATTGACCACTGCAGAAATTTGAAAGTGACTAGATATCTGATGACATTTCAAAAAGGGACAATGGTTGGGGCGCCTGGGTAGCTCAGTCGTTTAAGCAACTGACTTTGGCTCAGGTCATGATCTCACAGGTTGTGGGTTCGAGCCCCACGTCAGGCTCTGTGCTGACAGCTGCCTCTGAGCCTGGAGCCGGCTTCGGATTCTGTGTGTGTGTCTCTCTCTGACCCTCCCTTGCTCATGCTGTGTGTTTCTCTCTCAGAAATAAGTAAAAAAGTAAAAAAAAAATTTTTTAATAAAATAAAAAGTGACAATGGTCATGTGGTCATGTTTCATTAAAAAGATCCCTCAATTTAAATACAAAAATTAAAATGTTTATAGAGAAAAGATATATCATGTCTTTGGCTTCAAATAATTCAGATAGAGGCAGAAGGTGGAATCAGAGATCAAACGTGACTGGCAACGAGCGAACGATCATTGTTGGAGCTGGGTGACATGCATCCGTTATACTCCACTCACTCCACTGTTCCATGTAGTGGAAATTTTCTATAACTAAAAACTAAAAACAAAACAACCTAAGCAATAAATGCTTACTGCAAATTAAGTTTGAAAACACAGAGAAGCAAAAGGAGAAATCATCAAACACTTAATATTCTGAAGAAATAAATACTGTTGAAGAAAACGGGAAGGGAGGGGAGGAAAAAGAGGACTATGGTTTGGGTCTCTCTAAAAGAGAAAATGATAGCATTTTTTAAAAACAGGAAAGCTGGGAAATACATCTGATTCCGGGTGGAGATGACAGGATATAACACAAGTCTCTGATGAAGCTACAGAAGCAGGGACTGTGGCGCGACACTAGTAACTGAGGCCAAGTCACTAGGTGAAGGGCAGTCTGAAGGCACTGCTCAGTCACCACTCATTCTGACTCTCCACTGACATGGCTTCTTTGCTTCCTGCAGCATTGGATCTGTGCCACAGGCAAGAAAGCATCTACGTGGTCACCAATGGGCAAGATGGTCCTGAAAAACTATTCCTCTACTTAACTGAGTTTATTTAGTTTATTTTATTGGGGCGCCTGGCTGGCTCAGTTGGCTGGGTGTCCGACTTCGGCTCAGGTCATGATCTCGCGGTGTGGGAGTTCAACCCCGCATCAGGCTCTGCACTGACAGCTCAGAGCCTGGAGCCTGCTTCAGATTCTGTCTCCCTCTCTCTCTGCCCCTCCCCTGCTCACACTCTGTCTCTGTCTCTCTCTCTCTCTCTCTCTCTCTCAAAAATAAGATGAAAACATTAAAAAAAACCACTTCTTAAAATTTATTTTATTTATTTAAAAGACAGCCCCTGGCACCTTAAAACACAAAATACACTGAGCAGTTATTTTTACTCTTCCTATTAATAAGGTCATTAGTATATATGAGAATGCCCTAATAGTCATGAAGAAATTTAAAGGAAACAGATCTCTGGGCTCTATCCTACCTCAAAATTTTGAGCAACCAGAGTTTATAAAATTTTTTCTGTGTTATGACTATCCTTAATAACTAACTTGCTAAAAGAACATTCTTTTAAAAAATACATATAGCTCTTTATATTTTATGAAAACAATTAGAGATTTAGAAACATGTAGTCAAGAGTCAAGAAAATCTTTAAGAAGTTCCAGTTTCCAAAGGTTTCTAATATATTCTATTTGACGTAATGGGTCTAATCTGTATGGCAAACGTTGACTTCTCACCAAATCTGACAATGTTTAGTAGACAATATTTGTGGAAAGGCTCAAGTAGATTTCATTCTACTGAAAGGAGAAGGAAATGTTACTGACCTTTATTGTCTGCTGCTATAAATCCCAAGATGTTTTCATGGCGTAACATTACAGTCTGATAAATCTCAGCCTCACGGAACCATGAGCGTTCTTCTCTAGAGGAGAATATTTTAACAGCAACTTCTTCTCCTCTCCACTTTCCCCGCCAAACTTCTCCAAATCGACCTTTACCAATACTTTCTTGTAACACAATAGTTCTTGCAATTGTTCTCTGAACGAGCAATGGTAAACCTAAAGGTAAGCATAGGCATTAAGGAGTGACCCAGGAATAGAGTAACTCTTAAAGCTCTATCTTTAAGGAGCTTACAATCTCACCGGGAGACAGAGACTTTATTTACAAAAACAATAATTCATAATAAAATGAAAATAATAAATACAATAAAAGAATCCAGAAACTGATGCCTAGAGGGTCCAGGCAGATTTTGTAAAGTAAACTGAATTCTGACTGTCCTTTATAGAAGGGTTAGGACCAAAGGAGAAGAGGAGCTAAGGTATTTAGGTAAGAGGAATATTCAAGCAAAGGAGATGAATGGATGTTTACAGAACCAGCTTGGATAAACAGAAGGGGATGGACGTGGTGAAGCAATGGAAGAGAAGGGAAGCTGTGCACAGAGTATGAAGAGTACTGAATGCAGAGCTCAAGATGACCAGTGAGAGCTGTGGATAAAACAGGAACTATTAAAAATTTCTGAAAAGGGACCATAAATGAGGAGAAGTAATTTAAAGATCTTATCTTAGAAAGATGAATCTGGTAACGGTTTTATTGATGGGAGGAGAAATGTATATGAACATAAGAAACATAAAATCAGTATTTACAATCCATACTGACTTTAATAATCAGTAAAAATTATCACAGGAACCATTTCAAGACAAGCAACTTACTTGCTAGGAAATGGCTGCCTAGGCAACATTAGTATCTTAAAGAACGATGCCAAGTAACTTATAACTTGGTGATGGGACGTTGGCATTATTTCACTATCTGAACATGCCCTACTCTAAAATATGTATTTTAAAAATACTGCCACACTTACTCATTTATAGAAAAGAATTTATCACTACCTACAACATTTAAGTAACACTGTATTTGGAACTATTCCAATTCACTTAATATCATATCCCCTTATGGCCTAAGGAAATGTCATCTTAAATTATACTGACCCTGACAATAAAAATACCAGTATAAACTATGTTGTACACTTGTATTTTATTTATTTATATGACCTATACAGGTAAAATTGTGTAATTTATATTCAGAGTTGCTTGCTAGACCAAATTAACCCAATGACAGTAAATGAAAATATGTGCTCTCTTGGTTTCCTGATGTGAAATGCTTATAAGTCTGAACAGTAAATTTTTACTTATAGTGATCAGAAAGCTAAAAATAGATTGTGAAAAATTCTTATTTAAATCAAGGAGCTCTTTAATATTATGAATAATCAAGTCTTAATTATGTTATTTCATAGATACTAATTTACAAGATTTTCTTAATGTCTTTGAACAGGGTCACACTATATACTTAAAGACATAAAGCATATGTATGAATTAACTTAAAGAGGCGACTCTGGAAATTAGAAAGGCAAGGGTAGGCGCCTGGGTGGCTCAGTTGGTTAAGCGGCAGGCTCTTGATTTCGGGTCAGGTCATGATCTCACAATTGTGGGTTTGAGTCCCACATCAGGCTCTGCACTGAGCATGAAGCCTGCTTGCAATTCTCTTTCCCTCTCTCTCTGCCCCTCACCCACTCTCTCTCTCTCTCTCAAAACAGATAAATAAACTTAAAAAGAAGGCAAAGGAATACAAGAGAAAGAGGAACTGCAAATGGGAAGTGAAAATGTCTAACACATTCAGGTCTCATGTAAATGACACGGTCAAGAAAGGCTACCAGAACAAGGAAAGTTTCTGTCTCCCCATTATCACTGGATTCTAGATCCCAAACTAAAATTCAAAACCAAATCTAGATTCATCATATTATCTGTACTTCATTACCATAACCCATATGAAAATGTGAGCATTTTTAAAAAGTAATAATTTTCTCCTAAAGAGAAAAATAAACAGGCCTAATTCAAATCTCTGTTATCTGCTTTCCTTTTCTGTATCCTTAGAAATGCCTGAGAAAATGTCAATATGCAGACAGGGTCTGAGCAGCTTCACATGCAGTGAAGGACAGAAACCACCACTGGAACAACTGGAGTGGCCACATATATTGGAAGAGAACATAAGCACGAACAGCAATGAGCAGTGACCTAAGAGACTCACTCTTGTCCACAAACTGGCACACGTGCACATGTGCGCACATACTTTACAGTCTAATGAAAGCGTAAATAAGGGCACGCAAACCACCTGTGGTTCAAATGAATGCTACAGGGATCAGTTAGCTTCAGGGGTAGAGAACTGCCCACAGTTCCCAAGTTAAAGACACAGTCTTTGAGAAACAGAGATCAGGCCTTTCCTCTATTATGGTCATGGTACTGAGTAATGAACATATGAATTCATAACATGAAATGATTAGTTTTATCTTTCCTCAATGAGTGAAAGAACTACAAAGGGTATTATGTAAAGACATTTCACTCACAGTCACGAGTCCCATGCATGAGACAGGATTAAGGCTTTATAATGAATAGAAGGGAAGCAAGTGGCATTCTCTGTTATCATTCTACATAAGATAGCTTCTGTCTCAATAAATTTGGAGGCTATTCAGCACATAATGAACTATGACAGGGAAAGGAGGCTTTCAACTAAGTTTTTTGTAATGCAGCAAAGTAATACTACATGTCAGACTCTTCTTCCAAATATCTTTCCAGTAAGAGTAGCACCTGTCATTTGGACCTAACTAATTAATCAGAACATCTTATCTCATTTGAACCTCCCAGCAATCCAATGACATGCACAGGGCAGGGTTCATTACTTTTTATTTTACTTTATTTTATATTAGAGAGAGAGAGCGCGTGCGTGAGCAGGGGAGGGTCAGAGAGAGAGGGAGACACAGAATCTGAAGACAGGCTCCAGGCTCTGAGCTGTCACCACAGAGCCTGATGCAGGGCTCGAACCCACGAACCGCAAGATCATGACCTGAGCCAAAGGCATCTGCCCAACCGACTGAGCCACCCAGGCACCCCTTTAATTTTAAAGATAAAATAACTTGGGGCATGAGACATCAGCTAACTGCCTGAAGCCACAAGGCTAGCAAACAGCACAGACACTTCTGGCAGAGGAAAGCATTAAAGGAGAGAAAGTAAGTTTCAGACAACAGAGTTGTGGTTCCTGATGTATCTAGAAATACAGATAAAATGGAAAAAAGAATGCCATTCTTTGCTTCATGTCTGTATCTTAAATGGTAAATAAACATATTCTTATTCAGAAATCGGCTGCCATCCAGACAGCAACTTTTCCCAATGCTTTAGGTGGGCTTAGTCCCTTTAAGGCCTGATGCGTTATTACTGTGCTGAAAGTATGGCAATAGGGGATTCATTCCACTCTGATTTCCTGTGACTTTGGTCTTTGCTTATCATAGTTTTTAGGTCTACGGTGACTTCTAGAATGAGCCAGATCTTCTTCAGGAACCCTTTCCACTAACTCAGAATCTAGGGAAAACCCCAGGAAGCCTTAAAACAAGCTCTCTCTATTCTTCTACCACTCTGGCCCAAAGGCTATCACACCTCAGTACCAAGGCTGCTCTATCTCAATCCAACTTCTCTCTGCCTCCCTGCTCACCGCAGTCTCAGGGGTCCCTCAGGCTGCCTTGAGACACCTGGGTTCCAGCACAAGCCTGTATGTGTACTGGCATCATGGACACAGTCACTTACTGATACATATGGCCAAAGCCTATGGAAGACTTCAGGTCAAAAAGTCGGTATCCTCATGCTTAAATGAACAGATATGCGTATAAATCTATATTCATTTCCTTAAAATAAACAGACATTTGTCACAGTGTGAAATTTCTGTCATATCAGATGTGATTTCATGCTTCAGTCCTATTCCTACTCCAGTCACAATGCTGTTTGAATGTTCCTTTTAGTCACATGATTATAAAATTAGTGCAATTTTCAAATCCATTTCATCCATGAATCCAGGCTTTATTTGAAGTTGGTATATACTTTTCAAAAGACAGTATATCTCAGTATCTGCTCCATATTTGTGATGAGGAAACAGAAGCCCACCAGAAGAAATATGGTTTAACCAAGGTCAGAGCACCAATCAATGACAAGACTTGCACTGGAATCTGGATCTCTTGATTCCTAGCCCAGTGTCAAATTACACTATTATAGAGGACAGGGGTCTTCCTCTCTTAGTGTCTTTTCAAGCTCATGCAACTGAAAAACTAAATCTCTTTCAGTTTAAACATGAAGTACTGCTATACCAGAATCTACTTCAAGGGATGATTCTGGCCATTAGCCAGTCTATTTCTGAAACCACAAGAATCAGCAAACGGAACTGAGAAAGGCAAATGTCACAGAGGTCATGGATCCGTAATGCTAGATTAAATAACAAGGTGGTCAGACATTTTTCTAAAGTGAGAAAACCACTAGTTTAATAAAAACAAAAAAACTAAGTCTGAGCTAAAGACAGCAATTTCATATGTTAAAAAAGCAAATAACCTTCAAAATTCCAAATACATTTTCTGCCATGCTTGCTTTCAAACATTAAAATAAAGCTATTAAAGAATCCCGAATAGAGTACATAGCTGCAGACCATTTGAACAACTATGAACTGCAGCCTCTCTCATAAGAAAATAACTCTCCTTACTCTTTCTATCTCATGGGAGTCATAAGAAGGTGAGAAAGCTTTGAAATTTATACAAACATGAAGCTGATTATAGACTTATTTCGACATTAAAAGTACATTCTAAATTTGTCTATGCTGAACGAGCCAGTCGGACCTTTATTGGGCATAAAGCTGGAATTGGTATTTACACTATCTTAAGTTTTAAACACACTAAGTCAGTTGGCTTAGCCAACTAATAAATAACACAGTTCATCTTTATAAGACTTCTTAGGAAAAAGGAAAACCAGTTACATTACCTGATCCAGAACCCGAGGTTGTCATATCATAAATTAAATCTTTTAACGTTGTGCCCTCTGAAATAAAAGGACGATCTAAGGAAGGGTCCTCTTCATTTGGCACTCGATGGTGAATGACAGTACGATTATGGCAGATATAAACCATCAACATGAGGGAGATGCAGACAAAGCAGACTGGTCCAGCAATGACAGCTGCCAGTTCAACAGGACCAAGGCCAGATGATGGCTTTCCTGAAAAAGGGCCTCAAATGAAATAAACATCAACAATAGCAAAAACACTGAAGGTGGCATCCACAATTTCCTAATCCTCCCCATTTCCTGTACTTGACCACTACTCCCATTAGTCAGAGAACCTCATTCCAACAGCTCATAGGGCTCAAGCCCAGAACAAGTCAATCACTCAGTCTTCTCTAACTGGCCCCCTTTTCATGATCACCAGATCAGTCAACATCCACTTATCCTTTCTGCTCTTCAGCCTTCATCTAAATAAAGCCAGTGACCACCAACATTCTAGGACCTCCACACTATCACTCTCAGGTCACTAATAAAAGAACCAATGATCTGGCACATGTGGGTGGCTCAGTTAAGTGGCTGACTCTTGATTTCAGCTCAGGTCACGATCTCATAGTTCGTGGGACTGAGCCCCACACTGGGCTCTGCGCTGACAGTCAGCTTGGGATTTTCTCTTTCCCTTTCTCTCTGCCCCTCCTCCTCTTCTCTCTCTCAAAAATTAGTAAGCACACTATTAACAAAAAACCAATAATCTGGAAAAACTCCTATTAATGTCTTAAAAGTCCTTTTTTTAATCAAGTTTTTTAAATTTTAATTCCGGTATAGTTAACATACAGTGTTATATTAGTTTCAGGTGCACAGTACAGTGATTCAAAAACTTTATACATTATTCGGTGCTCAACATAAGTGTTCTTAAGTCTTTTTTTTTTTTAAGAAGTCTGGCTGGTCTTCTTATTCCAAAACCAATATAAAAAAAAAAAAAAAAAAAAAAAAAAAAAAAAAAAAAAATAAAAATAAAAGAGCAAAAGTAAAAAGAAAAAAAAGAAAATTTGCTTTAGCTTTATTAGTCCCAGACAATTCACATTTTAGTATATGTCTGTGTATATATATCTATCTCCATCCATTTTTTAAAGTTTTTATTTGAGTAATCTCTACACCCAACGTGGGGCTTGAACTCAGGACCCTGAGACCAAGAGTCACATGTTCTTCCAAAGGAGCCAGCCAGACACCCTTTCACCCATTTTTTAAAATGTAAAATATATCTTTTGTTTTATTAATAGAGTTTGCATGTATATACTTCCTAGTCTACGTTAACCACTTGGACTTTTTTAATTTTTATCTTTTAAAGTTTACTTGAATGTGTGCATGCTCTCATAAGTGGGGGAGGGGCAGACAGAGAGGGAGAGAGAGAATCCCAAGCAGGCTCTGCACTGTCTGTTCAGAGCCCAACATGGGTCTTGATCTCACTAACCAAGAGATCATGACTTGAGCCAAAATCAAGAGTCAGACACTTACCACTTGGACTTTTAATTCAAGATCATTTATTTTCTTATCTCTTAATAACTAACATTTTGCATTATTTCAGAAACACATTAATTGCATTGGCATTCATCCTGAGCCTTGCTGGTTCACTGCTCAGAACCATTTTTTTTCATATCACAACTTTCCCATTCTTGAGATCTTTATTTGGATTGATTTCTTATGATAGAGTCCTAATTCTTGTAATTTCTTTTAAGAAAGAGTACATGGGGCGCGCCTGGTGGCTCAGTCAGTTGAGCGTCCGACTTCAGCTCAGGTCATGATCTCACGGTTAATGGGTTTGAGCCTCGCATAGGGCTCTGTGCTGACAGCCAGCTCAGAGCCTGGAGTCTGTTTCGGATTCTGTATCTCCCTTGCTCTCTGACTCTCTCCTGCTCGTGCTGTCTCTCTCTCAGAAATAAATAAAACATTAAAAAATTAAAAGAAAAGAAAAAAAGAAAGAAAGAGTACATGGGTCCTTAATCACCGAATACTTATTATATAAAGATGGCTGTTGCTTTTATACACAGAAAATCTTGGCAGATCTAAAGAATTTTGCGTAACAATGTATGATGTTCCACTAACTTCTGATATTTAAAAAAGCAGAAAATCTAACCTTTTCTTCTTTTTAGAGGTAACCAGTGTTCACTTGTGCCAAACACATAAGCAATTTTTTTCCTTTATTCTTGAAATGGACTTATTATATGTATTTCATTAAGTATTTTTTCATTAATTTTGCATAACAGTCCTCTCTTCTGTCTGCTCATTTGTCATTTTCTGGAATTTTTGTAGCAAGCATATTGGATCACCTAGATTTATCCTCTATAGCTCTTAATTTGCTCACTGTCTTTTCTCCCTGAACTGTAACATAATTTCTCAAGCTTATCTTGCCTTAAGCTTGTCTCGCACTTAACTATAAAATATTAGCGGGGCACCTGGGTGGCTCAGTCGGCTGAGCAACCGACTAAAGCTCAGGTCATGATCTCATGGTTAGTGGGTTCGAGCCCCGTGTCAGGCTCTGTGCTGACAGCTCAGAGCCTGGAGCCTGCTTCAGATTCTGTGTCTCCCTCTCTCTCTGCCCCTCTCCCACTCATGCTGTGTTTCTGTCTCAATAATAAACATTAAAAAAATTTTAATAAAAAAACTATAAAATATTAGGACCCTGTCTGCTATTCACTCTCAATACTGCATTTTTAAAAATAATTCATCAATTGAGCTTTTCATCTAAAAGTGATCTTTAACTGAAAATGGACTTTGGACTGTTTAAGAGTTCTTCCCTATCATAAGCTAAGTCTTTCTCATAGGAATGATTCATCAGATTCAGTTCACTTCTTCTGAACCACTGAATCTTTTCACTTGGTAATTTTTTTTTATGCTGTTTGCTTATCAGAGACCTGGGAATGCAGGGACTTATGTATGCTGGGCGTTAGAAATGAAGTGAGATCTTTGCAAGGCTTTTTGAGTCTTCATTTAGATATTTGAAGCCAAAGGGAAATTGGAAATTGTGGAATTATAATTTTTCTTTGTCATTTCAGAATCGCAGATGCCTAAACAGAAGTCAGAAAAATCAGTCTGATGGCAATGTGCCGTAGGGAGCTTCCCACCGTGCTGAAAGATCTGGTTTTTGTTTGTTTGTTTGTTTAATTTTTTAAATGTTTATTTATTATTGAGAGACAGAGACAGAGTGCGAGCATGGGAGGAGCAGAGAGAGAGGGAGACACAGAATCTGAAGCAGGCTCCATCAAGGCTCTGAGCTGTCAGCACAGAGCCCAATGTGGGGCTTGAACCCACAGACCGCGAGATCCTGACCTGAGCCGAAGTCGGACACTCAACCAACTTAGCCACCCAGGCGCCCCTGAAAGATAAGGTTTGACTGTGCTGTGATCACTTGCATGAAGTGGAAGAAGGCCTCTCTCCGTACCCTGTAGGACTGGCCCTTTTCTGCTGGGCCACAGCACTATTTCCTACTTTTATTAGCACGATGCCTGGACCAGCTCTGAGTAGAGAGCAAGCAATGGGGTCACCTCCCTGAGCGATGAAAGCAGGTGCTTCCTAAAGGAGAATAGAGTGCTTCCTCCTGTAACCTCCTTACCCCAAGTGCCTCAGTTTACTGTTTGGTGGGAATCTCTAAGAGGTACTTTCACTTACTTCTTTTCATCTGGGTAGTCAATTCTTCACTAATCTGATGCTACCTGCACTATAAATTATAGAAGTTTCTCACAAGTATAGACATGAGGATGGTATTCTTCCATTAATTCTGCTAGCATGAATAAGGTTTTCCCCCATTTTTATGTTCTGTATTCTATATTGCCACTGTAGAGACAATTGGGATTTGGGGAAAGTGACAGAAAGAGTTAAATACATGTGCTCAGACTAATATCTTAAACCAGAACCTGAGCATTAAACTAATTCTAAGAATTTATGAAGGCTTCAAATTGTTAAATGTAAACTATGGTGAAGGACCAAAAACCTCGAAATCATATGTAATGATTTATATATAAAGATCATAAAGCAAGGTTAAATTACAAAATGAAGACATCTGGACTGTTTGGTGCTGCGCTCAATTCCCACCCATTACCAATTGCTTTAACAGGCCGGGGCATCACACAAGGAAGAAAAGCCCACTTCGAAGACAAAGCAGGGACACCGAGGGGGTACTGCTGCAGCGGCCTTGTCAGAATCTGCCATGAAGAGGCTGGCCTTTTAGGCCTAACAGACCTCAGAGAAAGTCTATTATTGGAACCGCGTTCTCCAACAACACATACCCAGCAGGCAGGATCTTGGCTACTCCTCTAACTCTACAACTGTGGACAAGTTCCTTCTTGCCTCTACACGGAGCAAGCAAGGGTAGATGATTTCTAAGATCCCTTCCAGTTCTAAAACCATAGTCAGAATCAGCTTTTCTTACAATATTAGGGAAAAAAATCTTAGACAACCACTTACCAACAGTCGGGAGCTCTATTTTATTGCAGTGGTCCTGATTGCAGCAATACGTTGTAGTTACAGACCCGGTTTTCGAAGACGGGGCACATACAAACGGTCTGTCTCGAGGAATTAGGTCAATTTCAGCTATACACATGCTATTGTGTATAACTTTGTCTGTGGTCTCTGTGACAGAGACAAAGCAGAGCCCATCTGTCACACAAGTAAAATTGTCTTTTGTACAAAGGTGGCAGAAACACTGTAATGCTGGGAAAAGAGAACAAGATTCTATTAGAAAAAATTCTCAGGGTTAACAATTTGAAGTGATCTTCTATTCATTAAAATAATACATTCCTGATCCTATTATAATCATACAATTTCTTTGCACTGTTCAAAAAATAAAATGCTTATTTCTCTCTGAAGTTCCAAATTCTGTTAAGAAGCACACATACATAGGAGTCAAATATGATAAAATCTGGACCCAGTTTTTTTCTAACACTTTTTTCTTTACAAGTACAGAAAAATTCTTACAAGTGATTTCATCAAGGTAAAGCAAGCATTTGCCCTCCCATTTGAAACACAGTACATGTAAATTTTTAATGGTTATTCTTATCAGCCCAAAGCTACGTATTCACATATTCCCCCACCTAGAAGCAATATGTGAAAATACCACTACCTACTTCACTGGAGGTTGGAAATGTCATTTGGGTGCATTTATGGTAATGGAGTAATGGAAATAGATTTGTATTTCTCTTTCCTTTTGTGTGAACCCTGAGAAAGACATGCGTCCTCTAGCTAGAAGTAGGGTGCTTGCTCAGTAAGCCAAGGAGACAGCACTGGGAAGGCAATCGCAGACGGCAGAAACACTAGCAACATGTCCGCTTGCATCTTTTGATCTTTATGGCTCAACTGGAGAAGTGACTCCTTTAGGGAAGTCTACCCCTAACTACTAACACCTTCCCTTACAAACAGGCACACACACCTCCCACCATGCTCTCCAATGAGGTTAAGTGCTTCCCAAAGCACACATTAACAGAAATGCTATTTTTTTTTCCTCTCCCCTAGGGAACTATAAGCACATTGAGGGCAGAGATCCATATTAATCATTTCTGTAAATCCACATCTAGCAGGCCTGTTACACAGTAGCATTCAAAAAAACCTTCATTAGGGGCACCAGCGTGGCTCCTGCATGGCTTAGTCGGTTAAGCATCTGACTTCAGCTCAGGTCATGATCTCGCAGTTTGTGAGTTCAAGCCCTGCCCTGGGCTCTGTGCTGACAGCTTGAAGCCTGGACCCTGCTTCAGATTCTGTGTCTCCCTCTCTCTCTACTCCGCCCCTGCTGGCTCTCTCTCTCTTGCTCACTCTCTCTCAAAAATAAATAAACATTAAAAAAATTAAAATAAAAACACTATTGTTAAATGAATGACAGAATGTGCGCTTACACTTCACTACAATCCCATGAAACTACAAAACACGGTCATGTCTGTAGGTCCAAACAAAGTTCCCAATTACTCGTTGGAGAGGAAAATGTTAAGGTCCAGATATGTAGTATACAGAATGGCTACCTATGATGAGACCAAGGAGGTCCACAGAAACAGTGTATCCAGAAAAAGAAAAGCTAGGCAGGGGCCAGAAGGAAGCTAATTCTCTGAACAGCTTACTGACCAGAAGGGAGAACTCAGCAGGCTCAGATCCTCAAACGCTGCACAATTCCAAGAAAGGCCTGTCTTTAGGACTGGCCCTAGGCTAGTCCCTAGGAAATGCACTCTGAGACCTTGACACAGTCTCCCAGATAAGAACCCTGCAAACCTGTGTGACTGAGCCCCAGTGCAAACCCTGGGCACCCAGGCTGCGCTGCTGCGTGACGGCGTGAGTGCACCTGTGTCCCTGCACTGGGCCAGCACACCTGGAAGCCGGCACTTGGTTTCTCCTGGCATTTGTCCCATGTGCCTTTTCCTTCTGAGGATTTCAACATGTATTTTTTCCACCATAATAAGCCCTAACCACGAGTACAACAGCTTTTCTAAGTCCTGTGAGTCCTAGCAAATCACTGAGCCCGAGGGTGGTCTTGGGGACCTCAACTTACTTGTAAACCCAAACTCAGGAATGTCAGGATCTCCTCAAACAAACGCTCTTTGGTTGCTGGATTAATTAATGTACTTCTTATTTTTACAGACCAGCAAAGTTTTACCTTAGTCATCATAAAAAAAAAAAAATGTACCTCCTTCTTAAATAGTTCAGCTATTTGCATTATCTCCTCTCAAACATAAGAAGAACACAAAAAGAGTATTAGAAAAGACACAATCATAGTCTATAGTCTAATATTTAAAGATTATTAAAAGATACAGTGGTTATTCACAGTGATTACAGATTATAGCTTCCCCAGGTATAATTTCTGAAGGGGGGGATTCTGACTAAAAAAACCCATGGACTGGTTTCAGGGATACATGACTGCTATGAAACTGCAGGTCAAATATATGTATTTGCATTTTCAAGGTTTGTAGCTTTCAGCAGAGTCACTCAGGCATCTGTCACCCATAAAAGACTAAAACCACCACCACAGGAGATTGTCCTCATTCTCTCCTGAACCCTCTGTACTTATGGTTAGTCATTTGGCCCAAACTGTCTAAACCATTAGCTTTATCAGTTACTCTACCACAAGCTTAGTGCACCAAGACTGATAACTTATGGTTCCCGGACTTGAAGAGCTCCAAGGCTACAGAAGGTGAACACTGCAATACAGTGCTAATTGCTGTATATAAAAAATGCCTCCATGAATACTTTCTCAGTTCTAAGATCTTCATCTTCTCTCTTTGCATACATGAAATGAGATGTAAGCGCTTAGCCTAACAATTAAGATTTTTACTTTTGGGTTCCAACTTATAGCTCACTTTGCAAATGCCATCTAAGGCCACACATTTCTCACCATCATGTCTTTCATGACCAGGGTCTTCACACCTACTCTTTTTGCCTCATTTAAACCCACCTCTCATCCTTTAAGACCCTATTCAAACAAGATCTTTTCCATGATATGCTCTAACCTCTTCTCCACCCTTAAGATAACTGGGCAGGTCCTTATGATATGTTCCCATAGTCTTCTCTGTATACCTTTAAGACTTCTCAGACAGAACAAATCAATCTACGTATAGTTTGCTGTTAAACTGTCTGTCATTACATTAAGAAGGGCCAAGTTTTTTAAAAATTTATTTTCTCATCATTGAATCCTGGATGCTTAGTGATCACGAAAACATGTGTTGACGCAGTATTTCCCAAACTGGAGGCCACATGTATGTTGGGAGAAGAAGGGAAGTCGAAGAATCGTGTACCAAAAAAATTTTAATGCTTTCATTTAAAAGATAATCTAAAATGAATAATAAAAATTCTGAACTGTAAGTAACCACAATCTATACAAGTACTGTCAGTGGGCTTTCACTGATGCTTCTTCAGTTGTGTTCAGATCTTCAGGCCAGATGGGCTCTCGGCACACTGTACACGGAAAGATCTCATAGTAATTGTTGCCAGCAGTGAAAGCTACTGTACAGAAGACTGGAATCATCAGACCATATGACAATGCAGGCATGGTCAAAAGCCAGAAAACAGTCTAACAGCTAATACCATATATATATGCTACAAGTATTACATGGGTCCTATCGCTGTAGTACAACCACAAAAGTTCATTTATAGTCAATATGGTTGGTAGTATCCAATGACACTTTTCCATTCTCACTTCCTGCATGAGCTGGTTTAGAGTACTGTTCAATAAAGATTTCAGTAATGTCGTAACGTTAACGTCATCTTCAAGTGAGCACCACAGCGGACATCTCATTAAAACTGGTATTTAAGGAATGTTTGCTGGCAAGTGTTTTGGTCAGACATGAGGTCTGATTATGCTGAACTTAAAAACAAAGACTTAAAGTCATTAATAGCACCTTGCACAACATTACTTACAGAGAACAGATACTTGCAGCTTTTAGTATCACTGAAGTGAAAATACAGAAACAGATTTAAAATGGCATGAGACCTGAGGCTATTTTCTTCTATTGTGAAACCTAAACATCACCTGTCACACCAAATAAACTATTAATTTGAAATCTGTTAGTTTTATAGTTGTCTTTGGAGGGGTTTTTTTTGGTCTTTTTTAATGTTTATTTATTTTTGAGAGAGAGAGAGACAGAGCACGAGCTGTGAGAGGGGCAGAGAGAGAGGGAGACACAGAACCCGAAACAGGCTCCAGGCTCTGAGTTGTCAGCACAGAGCCCGATGCGGAGCTCAAACCCATGAACCGCGAGATCATGACCTGAGCCAAAGTCAGACGCTTAACCGACTGAGCCACCTAGGCGCCCCATAGTTGTCTTTGTATTTAATTTGCAGTCTTGGTTTATAATTGTAAATGAGCCAAAAAAATAAAATGTTTTAATCTAGTTTCACAGCTATACAATTTAAGTAACATGAAAAATACATTCTGCAAAGGGGTTATTACTTATGGCAAGTTTGAGAAAATTAGGGCCAAAGAGCTTCTCTAAACAAGTGTCGCTCGGTCAGAACAGGTCCCTGGACAAATATAAACTTCACTGAACATAAAGTTTACTCAGACTGGGGCTTATTTCTTAAGAGAATTTTAAATTCTATTTCACCACTCTAAATCAGAGGTAAGACTGAATACAAGATTGATGTTACTCACATATGATGTAGTAATAAGGTTTAGGGAAAAAATAAAACAAGAATTTAAAAATTCCTATGAAGTCATGAGTTTTCTCATTTTTAAATTCAAATTTATTTTATGAATAGATAGCTCTGATCCCTTGCTACCTCTCTTTATTAGTTAGGTTGTTAATTTTTAAATGCATGTACAGGGCAAAACCTCTACCTAATAAAGGCATTCAAGATGTCTTCTTCCCACCCCAGGGCCCAGGTTTCACACCCTCCTCTGCACCATCCTTCAACACCAGCCCACCAACTCGACTCTTTGATTCTGCAACTTTTCACTGAGGGTATCTATACACCAGGTACTGCGCAGGCTATGGGGTGCAGGGATGCATAAAACAGGCATCTAGACTGCAGGAGTTCACCGGGTGGATTAAACGGAGCACTAACATCCGGAGCTGGAGGACGATGATCGAAGTGCTTCAACTCTGCCAAGGGAGAAGGGGAATCGGGAAAGCTTCACAGGCCATCAGAGTCAGAACGTGGAGAATATGTAAATCTGCTAGATAGCTGAAGGTGAGCAAGTTGTCCTGACAGGGTTTTTTTCCCTCAGTGGCAGGATG